TAATATTCATTGTTACTTTTATGATAACGTTTTATATTACGTTGAATAAAATTTTAGTATATACTAGCAATTTAGTCCACGTTATTATAGCTTATTTTTTTTTAAATTGATAGTGATATTTGAGTTTATAACACACTATTAGGTATTCAGTTTGTAAAAAAATTTATATTAAACATTAAAAATATAGTTTTTATGAAGTCGAAATATTTAAAGAAAAACATGGACTATAAATGCAATCTGCGTCACGACAAACAGCTGTTACTGTTACTGCACGGCTCAGTTATTTTTATAACAGCTCTTGTCTGAATTTTGTACTTTACGCCAATTGATAAACACGAAAATAAGAAATAATTAAAATCTATTCTTAACCGAAGGGGCTCGTTGTCTTAAGTTTTATTTTGGTATACAATGAATTAGCAACAGTATTAATTTTATATGATGCGAAAGAAAAATAAGGATAAATAGAAATGTGAAGAAGCTGAGTTATACATATTTGTGATCGTACGATTCAATTTCATTAATCCTTTCGTTGCATAGCCCGTACGTGTAATACGAACACAAGCTTTGTTGGAAGACATTGCTATTTTGAACATTATTTTATTGCAATCTACAATTGCTATTTTAAAAGGGAATTAGTTCACCTAATACATTCTGCTAGGTATTTTATATAGGTTTAAACGAGTTGTAAAAGATTTAATGGCTTATTTAAAATAATATCAATAGATTCCGTAAGTGTCTAAAATTGTTGACAAGGATCTCATACTTATGTATATAACATAGCCACATCTTCAATATTTCAAAGAAATAAGCCATGAAACGGCATCCAAATTCAAAGAATTCCAAAGAAAGAAATACAAAAATACAATTAACGGTTTAAAAGATATTTTGTATTAAAATGAGAGTATTTATGTGGAAAAATACATAAAAGTCATACCCTTATATACAAAGTAACATATAATTTTAAATTATGAAACGCAAGTCCTTACCACGAATGACCAGAGGTATTTTTGTGGTTTTTTTCTCGCCACGGGAAAATGATAATACTAAAATATTTGAGTTCAAAAAGAGCGCAGTAAGCTTCTCAAGAGATCCACCCTGTGAAAAATATATGCAAGTTTTATGATTATGAACTTTTAGAGCAGTTGCTGTTAAAACTTCATCCAGGATTATAAAGTAAATAATAATGGAGGAAGTAATAAAGAAATAATTTTTTTTAAGGATACAATCCTTGCAGTTTCTTTTTTTTCTATAAAAGTAGCAATTGCCCGCGATTTCGTCCGCGAGGAATTAAAAAAATCTAAGTCTAAACCTAACCAATGTTACCAAGGGATAGTGTTGTTTCCTAACAGGGAAAGAGTTGCAATGCAAACAAACAATTAGAATATTAGCAAAGATTTAATTTGATATTTAATCCCATAATTTGCTTATTAAAATCCTAATCTTCTAAAACTACTGAACCGATTTAAAAAATTGCGAAGTCGCGGGCAACTGTTAGTGCATTATAATAAGAACAGTACATTTGAATAAAATAACATTTTAATGAATTAAGTCAGATCAAGTCCCGTAAAATATTGACTATGAATTCGTTACAAGTCCCTCAAGCCTACCGAAGTACTGAGCCAGAAAATCTCATTTCTGTACTAACGACGAAAGGAGCGTTCGAGTGTAAAATAACCTATTTACACAAAACTTAATCTCCTTTTTAATGTAACGACATTATTTGTTAAGTACCGGATACTAACTAAGAAAAATATATTTCACTTGAAACTTGACTTACGTGGTAAAGATTTTTTTTGTATTTTGCACTCAGTAATTATGAGAAGGAATTATTAAAAACAGCAATAACTTGAAGAAAACTAATTAGTTAAAAGCTGTGGAATAGTGGAATTAATCGCTAAGTCCGGAGCAAAGCGAAACTGCTACAAAGTGGCCGTCTGTTGCAGCTGCTTTGACTGATATTTATGTTTGACTTACATTATACTTACGACTTCGTGGGCGTGCAATTAAAAAACTGAGCATATAGCTGTCACCCGTGAAGCCGTCACCGCGGAAATAAAATAAAAATTTAATTACTTAGTACCCCATGTGTTCTTCCAGACTATATTCTAAATCCATGCCAAATGTAATCGAGATCTGTTCAGCCGTTCTAGAGACGCCTTCAAACAAACAACATCAATCAATCCATCCATCTAAACCTGCGCATTTATAATATTGGTACTTTACACGTAATGAAGTTCCGTGTTATAATTAAACTTAAATTAAATTGTTATCTTAATAGTAGTTTTATCTCTGATGTATTTATTTTCAGTTCATACTGTTCAGAGAAGTGTTTCTTAATAAATTCTATTGTTCCGTAAACGTTCGACAGTTTTTATCAGTCTTAATGTCGTTGTACTTTTAAATAAGAAAATAAATCAGTTATACGTTTTGTACCATTTATATGAAAAACATGTACTTTTACAATTTGAAATTTATTATGTCGAACATCCTTTTAAGGAAATGTTCGAAAAGAACTTACTTTCATTCTATATTCAATAAAACCTTAAATAGATAAATCAAATGTGAAACATGTGCTCGTATTTACAACAACGCTATTTCTACTTTTACTTACTGTACCTTTAAGTAAGCCTTTCAGACTTAACTTAAGTTACCGGTTGCCCCATGGGCTTTACAAAACATAGCCAAAGGAACGCACAACTGAAACGAAAAATAGTCAACTTACTTTGAGGTTTCAAGTAAAGATAAATACTTTTCTAAAAGACGTATTTTTGAAATAATTTAATGTTAATTGGATTAAACTTTATATTATATCCTCGTATTTGTTTCTATTACCACACAAGTCAAGTAAGATCAACATTACTTCAAAGGACATTCCACAACTAACTTGCAAACAAGTGTAAATTCTGTCTTACATCACCATGTATTCATCTCCTTTATTCTATAAACTGTATAGCATAGTTATATAACCCATAAACCCCTGATTCGGGGCATAAAAGTGGGGGAATAATTTTCGAAGGCCTTTCGTAGGGATAAATTTCCTCTGTGTTTTCAATTACAATAAAAAATTACTTTTCGAAAGTCTCTAGATTCTAATCTCCCAGACGTCAAAGTGTAGGAAACCCTTCATTTATAAGTTTTTATTCATGTCTGTATTTATTTACCTGTTTTTCTCTCTTCGCAAACGTTTTCGTTATGTGTATATTCTTAGTCTTATACTTACAATTTTTTTTATCATCTGTAGTATACAAACCATCATAGAAAAGAACAGCATTTATAACACAAGAAACAAATTAATTTAAATTGTATTCTGAAAATTTATTACTGAGTATTTCACGTTTGAAAACCTTTTGCGGTTGTGAGCTCAAAAGAAAATATAAATAAAACGAGCGACTTAAGTTGAATCTGAAAGGCTTACTCAAAGCGAACCGCCTTCACTGAGCTACGATGTAGTCATACATGCAACCGCCTGCACTCGCGATACAAACATTTCTCCACACGAATAACAAAGTAAACGAACGCCTTGAGCGATAGTGATTTACTTCAACTCGAAATTTATGATAAATCATTGAATCATAAAGAATAGTTCAGTGCCCACGGTAAAAGTGTCGGTGAAATCAATATTGAGTCCATTCAATTTTTACACTATAATATTTTTATATATTTTTACACAACTTTATTTATTTGACGAAGTATGAATATTCGGATTTAACCTACAATGTATGTACGGAGAAATATTAGAAACTGAGCTACGAGCCCCTGCCTCTTGTCGTCGGAATTGTATCTAAGAATTCGTAGTTTTACAATTCAACAGGAGTGTTATATTTTACAGCACTCGTAAATTTTAAAGTAGACTCCAGTGACACGAAATAAATGTGTAGTCTATTGTTTCGCTTCTTGAATACCGCCATAGTAAAAAGACATTTGTTCCAGTCAACTCCATAATTTATTATATAGTATTTATTAAGGTCGTTTATTGCGAATGTCGAATGAAAGGTATTTGTTTTCGCTTCAAAAGAGTTGCTAGGAAGCAATTATGATTGTTAATAAAATACTTTCTGTCAATTTTTCCAAAAGCCCATCCCAACCACACTGGCCTCATGAGATTTGGTTGACTTCACATAACATGTCTTTGAATTCTTAGTAGATATGTACAGGTTGTAGATTGTTCTCCTTCACCGTAAGAACGTTGGATGTTTTTTTGTGTTATATAGTAATTTTATATTATAATTTAACCTATATAATAATATTATAATATAAAATTTTATTTAGATTCTAGAACCCAAAAATCTCTCGAAAAACTTTCAGAGGAATGATCTCTACTATTTCTGTTGAATTTCCGCAAACATCTAGCAAATGCAAGTAAAATTGTTGTTTGTTATGAAATTACTTAACAAGCGGTGGAAAGCAAAATAATTTTCCTTTCTTGAATCCCGGGCTGTCGTTATTTCAGTCTCTTAAAGCATGTTTCATCTGCTTTATTCAAGAGTTTGTATTGTTGGCAACTTTTATGACTTTGCAGTTAATTTAAACATTTTGATACAAGGGAACCAAGAAAGTCTATCCTACTTCTTGGTCGGAGGAATTTAAATACATATCGTAGCAAATTGTAGCAATTTCGTTTAAATTCAAATAAATAATGTTTCGATGTAGCAGTAGGAAGACCAATCACATTTTTTCTTTCCATCGGGATACTAGCTGTGCCCATGACTTCGCCCACGGGAACGTCTACTTGTAGGATTTTTTATTTCACATTTTTTTTGTTACTATATTATGTAAAATAAAAACGCATGTGAGCTCCAGGCCTAAAGCTTAACAATAGAGTTTTCACCAAATCAAAAGTAAATACTTTAAAGCGAGGAATTTATTCAGATTATATTTTTACCACAGTCTATAATTCATTCGTTCCATTCATCGTATAAAATGGGATATGCAAATTAATATAGCGGGAGGATTTTGTTTAAATAAAATATATCACTTTTGTATATATTTATTTACGTGTATTTTACGATGAATCACATTGACAAAAATGAAAAACATCAATTTTCAAAAGCTTTAATTTTTCTAATTCTTTTTTTGCAATCTTTATTAAACATGATAGCTTTCACTTCGTTTTGTAGAAAAGACTCGTGTTTTTTGTGCTGCAAGCCTATTGCGTGCATTGTCGCGTGAGCAACTTCTGCTGGGAGTGTGCATAGCGGAGTTATAAGCACTAACTGAAACATTGTGTGTATAAAATTAAACCTTTTTAAAACAAATAATAAAAATTGTACACCATCAAGTTAAAATGTGTATTTGGACTTAATTGAATGAGTTAAAAGTATTTTAGTGAATTATTTTCCTAATTATTACTTTACCCTTCGTCCACTTGATTTTATAAAGAACGGGAGACAACAACTTTCTAAAACACCAGAATAAGTATAATAAAGATAGGTAAAATCTGCCAAATTCGCTACATTTCTCGGATCGTGTTCCTTAAATGTTAAGCATGAACGTTCTTCTATATAACTGTGTCCCTTTTCAACAAGACTTATCAAGCGTTTTGGACCTGAAATGACAAGTAACGATCAAATTCAAAATGACAATTTTTAAAAACATCTGATGTAAAATTCAATCTATTATTCCACAAAAGTACATACTTGGTGAATAAAAATTAAAAACAAAAGGAATAATACTGTTATTCCAGTTATTCGGCCAGTTGGTGGGTAATAAGACTTTCGACGCTAAAATAAAATTAATAATTTGTTAATAAAATATTCTCCAACAATTTATCAAAAAGGAGATAAATTAAATTAATATTACAAAGATAAATAAGAATAATAATATTAAACAAGTACTACCGTCATAAATATGAAAAAAAAATAAAAAGTATCAGACATATGACATTATTTGTTTTGCAAGGAAAATACTATTATTATTTCTGTTTACTTCGTGCTGTCCGTATAGTTAAAATATTCAAATAAATGTATTTTTTGTGATTTCACTTACCGTTTCCTAATAAAACGTCGCTGCATAAAATATTTAAACATCTTACTATAAATAAAAAGAAAAAAGAAATTATTTTAAAATGTTTCAAACATTTCAACTTTTTCATACCAAGCTGTGTTTTAAAAATAAATCTAAAACGTTGTTTCGATACTCGTAAGTTGATTGATCGTAAACGATAACGCTATCCGTTTGCCATAAAAATATTAAAACTAAATTTACTGTTGCACCAAACTAAAATGTAAAATTATTTATTGGATACAAGTAGAGCTCTTTTAACAATTGGCTTGTTTTTTTTTAATAAATAGTTTAGGAGAATAGGAAGGAAATATCTTTCACCTTGATACATATATATTGAATTCTTTAAACTTAAATATTTTCGTTAACAGTTTTCGTTGTAAATTCCAACAGTGTGTAAAAACTAATCGGCGCATCTAACCCAATGATGTTAGTCTATTCAGAGCTGGTTTACTTTTCAACTGATACTCAGGCAGTCTTACTTAAGCCTATTAGTTCCTGTATAATAGTAAATATGAGTCATCATTTTATAGGCATGCAAAAAAATCATTCGTTGAAATTTGATCACATTGCATATCGACATACTCCCTCTTAATTAAGGTCGATGAAAAAAGCAGTAATACGCTATATCTGTCTAAAAATACTGAAATGAAAAGCAGCGATAGAAAGTATACAGTAAGCTACAAATGTTGGTAAGCATTGCCAACTATAAATGTGTTCGAAATAATTAATCGCGCATTAAGCGTATAGTGCCTTAGAATACTATATAAGTGCTCTTAATACTTGAAGCTTAACAAAAGACAATATATTATAATATACTTATAATTAATAAAAGAATCTCAATTTTGTTTAAATGCTGTTAATTTAAAATCATAACATTGATCCTAATTTTTTGCACGTGTGATAATTTACAAATACAAAATTCAAATGTTTTCCTTTTAAAATAAATAATTAGTGGTCTACCAGGAACAAAATCTGTTGTACGAATATGCCATCTGGTGAAACACTACGATCACACAGAAGACAAGCGTGAAGTAGAAGCAAATCCACGTTTCGTTTGACGAGTGTTAGTGTCGGAGGCTGAATTTTAGTCCTCTTTCCCCTTCCACGCTTTTCTTATAAAGAAAGACGGGAAGGGGAAGTGGATTTCACGGACCGGGACACACATGAAAGGAAAACATACTCTTTCTGTGTGTCCCCTCCATCGTATGTCAACGCATCAACGCATCTGCAATTGCGGATATTTATAAACAGCGGTTGCTTTGCTATTTCGGCGAATTCGGATGGCTGCTTACTCGTTTGCCACTTTATGATATAAAAAAAGTATTTATGGACATATTACTTATTATTTTCTTATTATATTATATCTTCTCTTATTTATTAATATTCGTCAATTCGTATGACAATCCGTGATTTGTCCATGCTCCACCAATCACCATTTCCGCTACAAGCCACTTCCGTTATTACTCTCCGAATCGGAATGTTGCCAAATTGTTCGTTCGTATTCCGATCTGACACATAACTATAATTAAAGATAGACATTTCACGATAAAACTATGTTATACACGTTTAAGTACTAGTATAAAGTAATAGAATTGTTTTTTTCTTGTAATCAATCTTATCACGATGAACTCATTTATCAAACGAGTCATTTGATGTAGCAATATAATACTTTGATTACTGTTTATGTTTTATTATAAAAGATTAGTTTAGATATTAAATCAAATCCTTACCTGGAACAGGGTCTGTAGTACACTGTAGTAAAAGCAAGCCAGAACCGATGCTAAGCTTAGTTTACGATTGAGCTTTTCACTGTGAACATACCTGCTAAATAATTATCTGGAATTGACGAACACGTTAGTTTCAAATCAAACTTAGATTCGCTTCGCTTTCTTTTCGCTTTTGCGGCAGTGTTACAGCGGCCTAAGGTGACTAATATGTAAAAACCACGAACCGTTTATGTTTACTGTTTATTAAAATTCACTGAATTTTCATAATAAAAAATCATGATGACGTCAAATAGTTCTATTGATACCCATGTGTTTATCTTTCCTTTCAATATGATAATTGTTTTAGAATCCAACTGGTAATTGTAAACACTTAAATGATTACGAAGAATTCAATTGATTGACTTCAAAGTATGCAAATATATTGATGAAATTTAAATCCAATTTATTTCCAATCTATAAACGGAATTTCCTATTTGCGTTCAATTTTCTATCGTATTCCGTAGAAGCTTTATTCGCAAGACTAGTCCATGAAACTTAAAAATTATATTTTTAAGTAAAATTGTTTTTTTATGTTTTTAGATAAACATTTTTTTATTTAAATAGTAAAATTATAATTAATTGACATATTTTCCTCAAGATTAAAATATCATATAACTATTCTTATTTATTTACATCTAATTTTCTTGATATGATATTAAGTTAGATATCGCAGTTACATACGCATAATTACTTAATACGCTAACGGCAGATTTGCCTTTGAATTGGCCTGGCGTCGTGCCAAACAAGTTTGTAAATGATGTCCGACTTTAAAAGTTTTATTTTATAGGGTCCATTTTAACGTACCTAATTTACTTAAAAGCTTAAAATTCATAATGTAAACAAAGTGACGCTTACTAAAATAATAATAATATGATTTTGCTACGAAATTGATATTTACAATTATTACATTGGCACATTAATAAACCTGTACCGTGAAATCTCACTAGGTTTTTAATTAAATACTCTTCTTAGTAGCCAGCTTGACCTGTTTTTGTTATTATAATATAATAAACTTTTCGGCCACCAAAGAGGTTAAATATGTCTAAATTCGTTGACAAGGTGTCAATAGTTTTTCTCATGCGATTTTTTACTTGTATTAATTTATTCAAACTCTAGATTCTGAACTTTAAAGGCGCTTTCAGTTGATTAACACGCGTAGCATTTTACTTATTGTTTTGCGTAATTTAAAGTGCACTCGATTATCACACATATAAATTGTCACGAACTTCATTTTTATGCGCAAGCTTTTTAGCAAATAAAACCAATTTTAACAAGTTAACAACTTCTGTAAGTTGAAGTTGTTTTAAAACTGCTTGGCGCGACTCCAATTTAATGCAAGCATTTATTTTCATTAATTTGTGAATGAAAAATGTTACGCCCATTAAACTTTAGAAAGTTACAAAATTTATTGATAATTCGAAAAGAAATATATGTACGTTTTTTTTTTATTATTAATACGATTTACACCTAAATAAAATCATATTTTATGTTTTTAATTTTAATGAATTAACTTAACAAAACATAATAAAATATTATGTACACCTATTATGTTTGTAATCATTCATAAAATAAAGAGAAGTTTTCTTTTTTTTTAAATAATTAAGACGTTCGAGTAACTTGTAAAATCTGTCCTTATTCCGATCACGTATTTCCTACAAAGCAGCTATTGCTTCGTGTCTCTAGAGAACCCGACGGCCAATACAATATTATTAGTAACAAAGTTAAATATACATAAAGTGTTTCTGTAATACTTTGTTACACCTGTGTTACATTCAAATTACAAATAACTACGTGATTTACATAGCACTACTGGTTAAAATATTCGAGTAATCAATGATTTAAAATCAAACTAAAGGTTAGGTTTCCCTGAGGTTAGGTTACCTATCAATTAAATATACAGATCAAATCGACTACCTGTAAAATAATTATAGTACGACGTTTGTTTAATTAAAAGAAATTTGGAACACACTGTTGATCACAGCTTAATGGATGGTCAGAGAAGACGATGTATTTCTCCAGTTTTACTTAACAAACTTTGGCAAATTGTTTCGTTACAATGTTTTCTCTCTCATCTTTTCAAAGTTTCTTTTTATTTACGGGATATTTTTGCGAGTGCTTACAATATTTTGTTGAGATAAATGTTCTGCAATAGGTTAAGGCGGCAGACTTTTTAGACTTTTTGCGTTCCTATGTTTTTTAAGAGTACTTCAAGCTTCGAATCTCTTTTTTCAAAATATTTAAATTTAATAAAACCTTCGCAGGTGATTTGTTTAAATATTATAGGCTTATGATATGTAACTTTACAATTTTATTAAAAGGAATTTTTTTATTTCTACTCAAACTTATATTATTAAAGTAGCGAAGATAATATAAATAAATAAAAAACTTAAATTGATACAATGTAACTATTCCTATTTTCGGCAGTAAAGTAAATAAATTTATCGAGAGTTATTGAATAACTTCATAAAATAATTTTTATTTAATGCTTTCTTTGCTTTAAATTTTATTCCATGAATAGAGCTCTTCCTTCTAAAGGACAGTCGCCTTGGAGCAGATCCAAATTGGATCAGAGCTTTTGTTCAAAATCATTCACAGTGTCGAGTGTTTAAATCAAATAATTTGTGAAAGTTTGTAATCATTTGTTTTTGCCCTTAATGTGATTTTCCACTGTGCTAATCCTAATATTAGTTCTAAAATCACATTAAATGGGGTAAAGAAATAGGAGTTGAGTGCCATCAATTATTTCTTTCAATTATAAATAAATTCTTCGCAAATTGCCAGCTTTTGAGTATATTTATTCTATGATATTTGAAAACAATCTTTCCTCTGCAAACCAAGCAGGCTTAAGGCCACGTATTTGCAGTTCTTCTGGTGTTGCGGATGTCCATAGGTGTCGTAGATCGCCTCGATGTTTTCGCCGCGCGTTTGCCCCGTCTTATATAAAAAGCTGTCTTACTTCTATGATATTATCATTCATCTTCATGTTAACATGTAAATATTTCACCTAACAATTCTTAATACAATAAGTTTGACCTAAAGTACAAACTCTTCAGACAATATAGAGTAATGAATAAACTTGGATTGTTTACTATTTGAAAATTTTAGCTAATGTTTATGTTCATATTTTACTTATGTTAATTAAAATCTTATATACCAAACATATATATTTATTTATGTACTCTTATTGCTTATAAAGTATATAATAAGACATGAGTAATAGTCATTTAAATAGCAAGGTTTGCTTTATCGCTATGATTGATCCCGTCCAGGAATCATTTCTACAAGTGTATATTAATAATACAATACTAGCTGACGACCGCGACTCCGTCCGCATGGATTGAAAAAATTGTAAATAGTTCCCGGCTATCCTTCACGAACATTTCAAGACCA